CGATGGGTAGAACTTCCCATCGCTGTTTGGCATGGTTCTGGAAATCAGTTTCGTTGAGGGACTGCTTACCCATCGATGGGAAGATCTTCCCATCGCTGGGTGGCATGATTCTGGAATCCCGGGATCACTTACCCATGCATGGGTGAAATCTACCATCGCTGGGTAGATGGCTAGCCCAGAACCATGGCCTAGCTGACCGGCGCTGAAACCCGACCGAAAAATGCAAAGTTCTCCAAAGTAAAAACTAAGTATATAAAACACTTATTTAATGTATTTTGATGTCAAAACAAGCTTTGTAAGTTGAAAACCACGTCGTTAAGGTAAAAACCACGGTTGACCAAGTCAACACCGTACACGGGTGGTTTTCACCAAAAGACAAAACCGAAAGGTGGTTTTCATGATGTTTTGATTGGAGAACCATTTAAATTCATTCAAAAACAATTCCCACACAAAAAGACTCGAAAACCACTTTATTTAAGTAAAAACCACGGCTAGCTAAGTTAATGCCGTTTCACATGGTTTTTATCAAACGACAAAAAACAAAAGGTTGTTTTTGAAGTGTTTTTGATGAAAAACTATTTAAATGTGCCCAGAAGTAAAACCAGTCATAAAAAGCTGAAAACCATTTGGTTAGTTCGGACGCCGAAAACCGAATGCCGAATGCCGGTTTCTGAAACCCGAACGCCGGATGGCTTGGGTTTTGGTTTGGGCGAACACCAAGTGTTTTTAATGTTTTATACATCTTTGAAAAACATTTTTATGATGTGTGAAATGCATTGAAAAGAATTTTAGCCTAAAGAGCCAAGGTGTAAAGATTGGGTCTGTCTTGATCACAATAAAGACCGACTCAACGATGCTAAGACTAAGGTCTTCGTTCTTGGTCTTCGTTTGGTTCTTGTTCTCTTTCTTCTCATCTTTGGTTCTCGCCTTGTATATTCAATGACTTGTCTCGTTCACGGCGGTTTGGCATTATCAAAACCTGTCATAACAACGAACGCGGCTTTAGTACGAAAACGTGATAAACCCGTGTTTCAACAATTGTCGGTTGCTATCTCCAGCTCGATCGAGCTAAATATTTGCGTTCTCTCAACATACTTGTTCCCTTCACTCGGAGACACTTCTCGCTCGAGCAAGAGGCCTCCGTTTCTCTTAAAGAAATTTTTCTTACGCTTTATTTCCTTCTTCATCCTCATGACTCTCCACACCCTCAAGGCTGAAATAAATAATAGTATCCCACCTATTCCAATGCCGAACCCTGATTAAAGATAGCGTAAAAAAAATCAAAATCATTCTATTTAAACATTATTTTGTAGCACAATTCAAATGTAAGAATTTTAGTAAAGTTGATATTAGGCTGAATATATATATATATATATATGTGTGTGTGTATATATATATATAGATATATATATATATATATATGTGTGTGTGTGTGTGTGTGTGTGTGTGTGTGTGTGTGTGTGTGTGTGTGTGTGTATATATATATATATATATATATATATATATATATATATATATATATATATATATATATATATATATATATATAGCACCTTACCTATACCTGTAACTTTGGCAACCTTTCCATGTTCTTCGCATCGATAACCTCCTAGAGTATTGACACAGTTTTTTGACCCGCAAACCCTTGAATCCTCGCATTCATTTATATCTGATGGAAAATAGAGACAACAATTTAGACTACTACGTCTAGTAAACACATATGACTAGTGTTTCTAAGAACTTCATGTGATTATGCGGGCTCACCTTCACAATTGTTTAATTAGGCATTGCCATGGTAGCCACTCGGACAAAAACAAGTAAGCGAAAATGCATAGCCAGTATTCGGCGTTGGTACATAGTAGTTACAAACCACAGTGTGCCCAACTTTGGTTGTGCGGTTCATGACCCAATCTATCACGATCGGGAAGGAGTTTGTGTCTCGCAGAGTATGAAGATCTTTTCTATTTGTACCGAACCATTGTTGTTCGACTATGAAGGCATACTTGCACTTTTCTTGTGCCCGAGCGGAGGGATGACCAAAAACTTGATCAAGGAATCGGAAGTCATAGTTGATAGGAATGCCTGAAGGTATCAAACTTCGGCAACAACCATCACCGTAGCAAGAGCTATACCTATAAAACAAAGATCGAGATAGATGCATGGAATCTTACTAGAATATATTTATTACTCCCTCGGTCCCTAAAAAATCTTTTCCTTTCATTCTTTTATTATCCCCAAAAGATGTCCCCTTATCTATTAAAAAACCACATTTATCCCTTACTTTTTCATAACCTATCTATCACACCATATCTTTTTACTAATAATTTACACATCGCATTTTACTTTTAATCATCACATAAAGAGTATTTTTGGAAAGTCAATACAAAAATATCAATCCTTTAAATATTCAAAAAGTCAATAAGGGATGATGTTTCAGGGATGAAAGAAGTATTTGTTTATATGTATTACTCGTATTATTTGTGTTTTTGGGCCGTGTATCTGGGTCTTGTATATTTTTGTATATCTACTCGGTTTGTGATTAATGAAAGCAAGTAATTCAATTCAAAAATTATACTCCCTCCGCCCCTCTGTATTTGTCCACATTTGACTTTTGGAACTGTTAATCTAAGCAGTTTGACTAATCAAATTCTCTCAATGTGTAAGCCTAAATATAGTCATGTGTGATCTTGTTTGATTTGTCTTAACATATAGATTACTAATATATAATTTTTATAATTTTTTAATATACAAATTACAAGATAAAATAGATTAAAGAAGTGTATTGGATGGTGTGCAAAAAGAAAGTGGACAAATACAGGGGGACGGAGGGAGTACATGGTATGGGAGCTCTCCTCGGGTTCCCTACAAAAACCCTAGGTACATCAGTTGGCTAGCAGTACCGCCACTGTACAGCATCGGAGCAATGCCACCCGTCTGTTGCATCGTCCTCCGTCGTCTGTTGTCTCCTCGATCTTTGAAGTTCTGTTCTCTTCCATCTGTCCTTTTGTTGCCCCATGAGTATTCTATCGCACGTCCCCTTGTCAGCCACGAAGACTCTAAAATGTACAAGATTGATCCACGATCCTTCCCCCATATATTATCTTCATCCATCTAAACATGATGGTAATTCTTTTACCAAATACTTTCTTCGATGTGATAATTATGATATTTTGGAGAAATCTATTCGGAATGCATTGGCCTGGGAGGACGTGGTAAAGCTAATTTTCTCATAATTGATAAGTCCATTTTGGTAATATCTTTTACTTCATATTTAAACGTTATTGCACGTAAATAGTACTTAATCATCTCATAAAATGTGTTAAAATACATTTTAGGACATCCATTTTATGTTCAAATACTTGAGAAAAAGAGAAACAATTATCAAAAGACCATGATTTATGCTTGAACGAGATTACGGGATGTCAGAATCAATGTTCGGGGACCAAAGGACGAAACTAGGCCAAAGCTGGAGCTGACACTCGCGCAGAAGCCCAAGCCCAAAGTTAGGGAATCTAACTCGGACGCCCCAACTTGGATGCCCTAAGAATCTTATTCGATACTAAGCAGCTTTAACATGT